CTAAAAGTATTGCCCAAATTGTACAGGTCTGATGGCATAATGCTGATAAATGCCTGCCATTTAACGCCCCTGAGCTATTTACTCAAGTCCTAATCATATATATATATATATATATCACCTGGAATAACCTCGTAGGTCACTTCAGCTTTGTGACCAATTGGCAGCCGTGACAATGTGGCATAAATGTTACATGACGAAAATATTGTCTATAATTACCTGATTCGATTCCTGTTGGAAGTGCCTTTAAAACCCAGGCAATTTAAATACCTCCACCTACCTTGAATGAGAATAACCTTTGAGAAACAAGGCTAGGTCAAATTAAATGACATCATTAAGCTTAGTGTTAGCACTGTAGAAAAATTAAACTTTCAATTTTCGTCCCTTTAAGTGATTGCTCTTAGTTAAGAAACACTTTTATAAATTAAGCCTACTGTTTATGAATACTAATAGATCAATCCAACATCGTTATACTAAAATTTCATTCTATTTATTAGTAATGCATTTCTACGGAACCGGTAAAATAGAATTCGTTGTTTGATATAAGAGTTATTAAGTGAGTTTCTCCATGCCCCATTAACGTATATTCTTATTGATTTTTATTAAATGCTCACTTATTCGTTAAAAATTATAGGATATTTTAAGTCAACTAAGTTAGTTAATTAGCCATTTAGAGAAGCTAGACTAAAGATATATATGTCGATATCCAATTTATCAGGGTGTGGAGACCAGCCTAGGCTTTACAATATTATTTCCTCTCCATTGTTTGTATTGGGTATGTATTTTTAGTGTGTGCAACTTGAGATGTGACTGGTGGCATATCTGACTAAGGGGAATGCCAACCAAAATACACGTGAACAAGTGATTATGAATAGATGGAGTGCGTTTTACGCGATTCACAAGTGGAAAAGGGAAGCGAAACATTCTCACACCAGCGGTTCCGACTTAAGCCGGACATAAAGCCCAAAAAAATGATGTGATATGGGGATGGGGAGGGGAAAGAGGATAAATGGGTGATGAGTCTAAAACCTATGGAGAGGAAGATACCTAGACATATGCATCACCGGCTCTAATCCTCGAATATGATGTAAACAGGGGTCGGAATTGGGGGCTCATAGGCAACCCGATTTCAGACAGCCATTCAGTGATTGGTGTGTGTAAAAGAGACCAATTGACAAACGGGGTAGAGAGGGGCTCAATGAAAGTAAGAAGCCATGACCCAGAAGCCCTGCAAACGACATCTGAAACCGGTGGTGAAAGTGCTTATGCTTAACTAACTAAACTGGAAACGACACACTCATAAGCGACATTATATGAAACGAGAACATAGAATGGTGTAAATAGGTAAATGGGCCATATGAAGTAGGGTTGGGAGAGAGAGATGCAACACTCTAGGATAGAACAAGGAATAGGGATGATAGGTGATACCAAAATGGTTGAACA